AGATTACGTACGAGTTTAGGTTTAGGTTTCGGTTTAAAATCAGTACTTAACGTAACGTAATGCATTACGGAAAAGCTTGTGCGGTGGCCCTAATACGGCTCTGTGATTGGTTTAGGACATCTTAAGATTGTGCTTAAAACGGTCTTAAATATAAGAACTGACTATGAATACCGGCCTTAACTATTGCTTGTGAATGTAAATAAACATAATTCTAGACAAATTTCTCGTTTATTTTCCATTTTGATAATTAATACGAACAAACGGTAACTGTTACGAACATCAACATATAGACTATATATCGACTATATATTGATGGTTACGAAATAATGAGATAGGTTGGCACCATGTACTTTCAAGCGTTTCCACCGTCTAAATTTCAGCTGCATAAAGTTAGCCGGACCACTTTAACTTTTTAATAATTAAAATTAGCTAATCGTTTGGCCTTTTTGTAACATATTTTTCACAAGAGTTCTTTATGATATATCTTCATAGATATCTCTAAAATCTCTAATATGTTATCAAAAGAAATTCATAAAGTACTCAAGTTTAAGAGTCGGACTTCCGAAAAAAATACTTACAGGACCATCCATTTATAAAGTTTTTATATTTTCTATACACTTTTGTTGAGTTTTGTTGAGACGGTAACGGATTCCGCGGATTCCGCTTAAATGTGCGGAAAGAAACGGCTCAATTCTCGGAAATGCGGAATAGTTACTTTTCTAGTTACAATTCTCTTCCGTGTTTCCGCGTTTCCGCGCTCCATGTAATGGCACCCTAAAGTGTGCGCGCGCGCGCGTGCTTCCTGTCCATGCATGTACTTTAGTATATTCCAAACTTTTTTTGTTAATAACTTTTTAATAAGCAACGAGCGACGATTAAATTAGAAGAAAAAGTTACTCAGAATTATGTCCTTGACAACATATATCAAGGTTATTGGGGCTGGGTCCCCTTTTCGCTATATTTACCCTCATTGAATATCGTGCGACGCGTCATCGCGCTGGCTGCAAGAGCCATTACACGACGAAGACATGCGCAGGCGCAGGGTCAATGCACATGGTTTTTTTTACTTTTTGGATAAATTATGGACTACCAAACGTTGTAAATAAAGGATTTGTGACTACCTAACGATTCTGCATCGAATAAGCCTTGATTTAATTGATTAGACTAAAAATTAAAAATGTCCGGCTAACTTTACACCAATATTTTAATTATTTAATTTAAAAAAAACGATTGACCACCAAACGTTTTAATTAGGCTACCGATCATCACCAAACGACCACTAAACGATTAGATAATTTTAATTATCAAAAAGTTAAAGTGGTCCGGCTAACTTTACGGAGCCCTAAATTTCGTGTCAATTCGCTGCCACTCCGACAAAGCTTGTAGATCGGAGTAGGAATGAAATGAACGCAATCAGTCGTATTTCCATCGACTTAAATTTAGTCCTACGCCGCACTAGATGCGAATTAATACTTCGGTGGAAACTAGACCATTGTTAATAACAAAAAATCTAATTTATCACGAACGTTAAAAACAGACTCACAAACAATTTACAAACGAAATACACTCAGAAAAGTTAAAAATAATCATATTTAATAATTACTGCCGGCTAGCTTCATGTAGGTACTTTGTACGGTATTATACATTTTTCTCTGTGTAGTCTATGGTTGTCAGCTTTCACACATCGCGAGCGACGAAAGTAGAAACTTGACTAATGGCTTCTGCACACAGGACGCGGAAATGCTTGCCGCGCGGCAAAAGGCAACGCGGTAGCCAATCAACTTACAACTTTTCCATTAGAGCGAAAAATTGATTGGCTACCGCGTCGTTTTTTGCCGCGCGGCAAGCGTTTCCGCGTCCTGTGTGCAGAAGTCTAATGGCCCTCGCACACTGGACGCGATGAGCGATGAGCGATGGGCGATATCCAATGAGTGCTCTGGTTTTCCGAAAAAATAAAGCTCTCATTGGATATCGCCCATCGTTCATCGCTCATCGCGTCCAATGTGCGAGGGCCATAATGGCTTCTGAGCGACGTCGCGCCAAGCCTCGCGACGGATGTGACGTTTGGAAAAGCAGAGTTTTCATTGGATATCGCCCATCGTTCATCTCTCATCGCGTCCAGTGTGCGAGGGCCATTAAGC